CGGCCGGCGGAGCGGGGCCCGCGCTGCGCAAACGGCGCAGCGGCCGCGCAAACGGCGCAAGGGCCGCGCCGGTGCCGGGCCCCGAGCGGCGGCGGCGCCGGGAAAGGCGGCACCGAACGGGGGCGGGGCGGGGTTTTTTTGGGAATGCTGAGCTGCGTGGGGCCTTCCTCCCCGCCACCGTCATCGTCCTCGCCGTGGGGCTGCGCCCCGGAGATAGGAGCGGTGCTGGGATGGGCGCGGGAGCCGAGCGTGGCCGCGCCGATAACGGGGAGCGGAGCTCGCCGCCCTCCCGGCGAGGCGGAGGGGTCATCCCGAAAATCAGCAAAAACCGCCTCGGGCACGGCTCTGCCCCTTTGTCCCCATCGTCCCCGTGCTCTCCTGCCTCTCGCTGCGGGGCTGTCACTTCCTGAGGCACCCACAGCACCCTGGTGTCTCCCCTCAGCCTCTGCATTCCCAAAATTCCCAACCATCACGCGGTTTTCCCGCTGTTTCAGGCTGGCCGGGGCATCTTTTCCCCCGTGGAAATGCCCCACGGGGAGCTTTCTCCGCTGGATCCCTCCCCTCCTGTGGCGTTGATCCCAATCCAGGCTGGGATCCATCACTTCTCCCTTCTAAACGGATTCCCAGCCTGGGTTTGGGCTTTTCCAGCGCTCAGGGGTGGGACGGTGGAGCTGTTCCCCCATCCTGAATTCCTGGGAATTCTGGCTGCCTTTAATTACAGCTGGGAAAGCATCCCTGATAATTAAACCCCTTCACGTCGCAGCAGCCGGATCCATCCATGCGGGAATCCTTCCCCACTTCGTCTTGTGCTAATTAGGGTTAATTACACCCCAGGGGCGCCCTTGGGAATGGGACACTGAGGAATGCTGGCCTGCGACAATGAGGAATCGCCATCCCAGCTTTTAGGGGCACTTTTGAGGCTCCCACCCCGGCGTGGCTGAGCAGGGTTTTCTCTCTGGATCACAAATTCCAGCTGGGATGAGCCAGGGCCCCGGGGCTGTTCCCACTGTCCCAACGATCTGCACGGATCCATCGAGCCACGATTGGAAACTGCCCCTGGGGGGGTTGATTCTCTGGGTTTTTGCAGCTGTTGGAGCTTTATTTTGGTTTTTCCGAGCCACCAGGAAGCCCTGGATCTTTGTTGGGAGGCCCTGCTCCTGTTTCTGTGGGTTTTGTACCCTCAAAATACATGGGAAGATAATCCTGAGGGACCTGGAATTGGGCTGGGAACCCTCTAAATCCATGCCTTAGCCTAACTGAGCTGGGATTTCCCCACGGGGGAAGGGCCTGGCCTCACTGGGACATCCTTGGGGGGGTTGGGATTGGTGCTGGGGGGCCTGGAGCGCCCCAATCCCCCAATTCAGTGGGAGAAGCACCAAGGGAACGACCTGGGATGGTCACCAGGGTTCCTCGTGGGCCCCAACATCCCCCTTTGGAGCCTTGTCCCGGCCCTGCTCTGCCAAATCCTGACGTCCCAGCCCTTCCCGGAGCTGTCACTGGCCTGGGGGACAATGGAGCCGTTGTCCCCCCGGGGGTGGGGACAATCCCTGACCTCAATGGGGCTTTATGAGCCCTTGTGCCGGGGTTCACCCCGGGCTGGGGGGTCCCAGGGGAATGGGGGCTGAGCCCCAGGGTTTGGGGAAACACGGGGAGAGCTGAATCCCAGGGGAGCGGGACGAGGGCAGCGACCCATCCCGAGGGATTGGCCCAGGCCTGGGGGGCTGGAGGGGTCCAGGGGTGAACCCGTGGGATTCCCCTCGGTTTGGTGGGAGCCACGAGCAGAGGAATCCCGGGAATTCTGTCAGGAATGGGAAGGGAATGGAGTGGAGTGAGGTGGAACCTGCGTTTGGGAACGTGGAAACGCGCTCAGGTGTTTCCCCAGGGATTTTCCTGGCACGGGGAGGTTCCCACCGCGCTCCTTCACCTTGAGAACTTTGTCCCTTTGTCCCTTTGCTGGCCCTGGTCACACCTGGGCCCAGGTGGGAGGCGGCAGGATCCGGGCGGGTGACGTCCCGGGGCTCCTTCGCGCGTCACCGGATCCTGCCGGGCCGGACGCGGGGACGCGGGGCTGGGTGGCACCTGCCACCCGTCCCTGTTCCTTCCCGGAGTCCCCTCCTTTCCCCTGGACCTGTGACCTCCAGCTGAGGGAGCTGGGAATTCCCGGGGGGGGCTGGGACACGGGGGTCACCTGGATTGCCCTGGGATGGGGGCTGGGGGTCACCTGGATTGCCCTGGGACGGGGGCTGGGGATCACCTCGATTGCCCTGGGGCCCTGGGATGGGGGCTGGGGGTCACCTGGATTGCCCTGGGATCAGGGCTGGGCATCACCTGGATTGCCCTGGGATGGGGGCTGGGGGTCACCTGGATTCCCTTGGGATTGGGGCTGGGGATCACCTGGATTCCCTTGGGATGGGGGCTGGGGATCGCCTGGATTCTCTTGGGATTGGATCCGGGGATAACCTGGATTCCCCCAGGATTAAGGCTGGGAGCCAGGGATCACCTGGATTCCCTTGGGATGGGGGCTGGGAGCCAGGGATCACCTGGATTCCCTTGGGATGGGGGCTGGGGATCACCTGGATTCCCTTGGTATTGGATCCGGGGATCACCTGGATTGCCCTGGGATCAGGGCTGGGCATCACCTGGATTGCCCTGGGATGGGGGCTGGGGGTCACCTGGATTCCCTTGGGATTGGAGCTGGGGATCACCTGGATTGCCCTGGGATCGGGCTGGGGGTCACCTGGATTGCCCTGGGATCAGGGCTGGGGGTCACCTGGATTGCCCTGGGATCAGGGCTGGGGGTCACCTGGATATCCTTGGGATTGGATCCGGGGATCACCTGGATACCCCTGGGATGGAGGCTGGGGGGCACCTGGATTGCCCTGGGGATGGGGGCTGGGAGCCCGGGATAACCTGGATTCCCTTGGGCTTGGAGCTGGGGATCACCTGGATTCCCGTGGGATGGGGGCTGGGACCCAGGGATCACCTGGATTCCCGTGGGATGGGGGCTGGGACCCAGGGATCACCTGGATTCCCGTGGGATGGGGGCTGGGACCCAGGGATCACCTGGATTCCCGTGGGATGGGGGCTGGGACCCAGGGATCACCTGGATTCCCGTGGGATGGGGGCTGGGACCCAGGGATCACCTGGATTCCCGTGGGATGGGGGCTGGGACCCAGGGATCACCTGGATTCCCGTGGGATGGGGGCTGGGACCCAGGGATCACCTGGATTCCCCCGGGATCTGGACTGGCACAAGGGGATCACCTCAATTCCCCCAGGTTTGGGGCTGGGAGCCAGGGATCACCTGGATCCCCCAGGATCAGGGCTGGGACAAGGAGGCAACAGCAGAGCCAGAGGTGTTGGACCCCCCTTAGAGAGAACCACCCTGAGCCCAGCATTCCCGTCGGGATCAGGACATTCCCTCTGGGGCCTCCCCGAGGTCCCTTCCACCTTTTCCCACCCGGGGCCGTCCCGCCCGACCTGTCCTCCCGGTTGGGCAGGAAGCGAATTTCCGGGCTGTCACCCCGGCTCCGGGACAGGGCTCGGGCTCTGCCGGGAAGGCTGTGACACCGCGGGGGTGACGCCGTCGGGGTGACGCCGTCGGGGTGTTGTTGTTGTTGTTGTTGTTGTTGTTGTTGGCGTTGTCGTGACGTCCGGGCAGTTCCCGTCAGAGCCGCTCCCCGGGTGATCCCGGGCACTTGGCACTCCCCGTTCCCAGCTGGCACTTCCCTGTCCCCAAAGGGAAAGGGGGTGGTGACAGCCCCAGCCCAAAGCTGCCCTTGGAGCGCCACCTTTTCCAGGCACGATTCTCCCAAAAAAAAAAAAATTCCGGGTGCTGAGGCCAGAAGGAGTTTTGTGGGAATTCCCTGCTTTCCGTGGGGATCTGCCCTCCCAGCAGTGTCCTGTCCTCTCCCCCAGGAGAGCAGGAATCGATCCCTGTGTTCCCAGCCCCCTCCCTGGGCTCTCCAGCGCTGGAGAAATCAATAGGATTGATTAATTAATCAATTGACCCCATCCTTTCATCCCTTGCAGGGATTTCCTTCCCCGTGGCTCTGGGATCGTCACTCGCCGGCCTCTCATCCTGCAGCTCATCTTCTCCAAGACGGGTAGGGGGGCTGCAGAGCGGGGAGTGAGCTCCCGTGGGGGTGTGCAGCCAGCTCCCAAATTCCTGCTTATGGGGGAGGAATGCAGGGCAGAGCCCTGGGAATGCTGGGGAGGCCAAGGAAAAGCGAGGAACATCCAGCTGGCCACGGGGGGGTGACTCCTTTTCCCAGCCAGATTCCCTTGGTTACCATCAGCCCTTCCTCCCTTTCACCTTGACCGGCCGGGCTCTTCTCCTGCCCGAAAATCCCGGGATTTGGGTGAATCCCAGAGCCCCTGGTGACCTCCTGGGAGCTGAGGGAAGGTTGGAGGAGGCGGTTTTGGGGCCATGGGAGGGTTGCTGAGGGCTCTGGGCTGAGGTGGCTGGGATGATTGCAGCGCCGAGGTTTGCGCTCTGCCCGCACGGAGGGAAGGAGGAAGGAAATTGCAGCGTCGCAGCGCGGCCCCGGAGCTGCTGGGATCCCTTTTTTGGGGCAGATGGGGATCCGGGGGAGCTTGGTGTGCTGCAGCCCCTTCCCCATGTCCAGCAGCCCCTTCCCCGTGTGCTGCAGCCCCTTCCCCTTATCCTGCAGCCCCTTCCCCGTGTCCTGCAGCCCCTTCCCATTCCCCTGCAGCCCCTTCCCCATGTCCTGCAGCCCCTTCCCCGTGTCCTGCAGCCCCTTCCCCTTCCACTGCAGCCCCTCCTGGGTGTCATGCAGCCCCTTCCCATTCCCCTGCAGCCCCTCCCCCTTATCTTGCAGCCCCTTCCCCATGTCCTGCCGCCCATCCTCATGTCCTGCAGCCCCTTCCCCTTATCCTGCAGTCCCTTTTGGGTGTCCTGCTGCCCCTCCTCATGTCCTGCAGCCCCTTCCCTGTGTCCTGCCGCCCATCCGCATGTACTGCAGCCCCTTCCCTGTGTCCTGCCGCCCATCCGCATGTACTGCAGCCCCTTCCCTGTGTCCTGCCGCCCATCCGCATGTACTGCAGCCCCTTCCCTGTGTCCTGCCGCCCATCCGCATGTACTGCAGCCCCTTCCCTGTGTCCTGCCGCCCATCCGCATGTACTGCAGCCCCTTCCCCGTGTCCTGCAGCCCCTTCCCCTTCCACTGCAGCCCCTCCTGGCTGTGCTGCAGCCCCTTCCCCATGTTCTGCAGCCCCTTCCCCGTGTCCTGCAGCCCCTTCCCTTATCTTGCAGCCCCTTCCCTATATCCTGCAGCCCCTCCTGGGTGTCCTGCAGCCCCTTTCCCATGTTCTGCAGCCCCTTCCCCGTGTCCTGCAGCCCCTCCCCCTTATCCTGCAGCCCCTTCCCATGTCCAGCAGCCCCTTCCCCATGTGCTGCAGGCCATCCTCGATGTCCTGCAGCCCCTCCTGGATGTCATGCAGCCCCTTCCCCTTCCAGTGCAGCCCCTTCCCTGTGTCCTGCAGCCCTTCCCCATGTCCTGCAGCCCCTTCCTCACATTCCCCACTCACCCCCCCATATCCCCCTGCCCTGCTCCATCTCCATCCCCCCGAACATTCCCCGTTGCTGACATTCCCAACCCCCCTTCCAGAATATGCCGAGTTCCTGCACTGCAAATCCAAGAAGTTCACGGATTTCGATGAGGTTCGCCAGGAGATCGAGGCGGAGACCGACCGGGTGACGGGCACCAACAAGGGCATCTCCCCCGTGCCCATCAACCTGCGCGTGTACTCCCCACACGGTGAGGGAAAATCGGGCAAAAATCTGGGAATTCCGGGGCCGTGCAGCGGCGAATCCATCGGGAATCTGCCTCTGGATCTTCACCCATCCATGTGTCCCCCACCCAGTGCTGAACCTGACCCTGATCGACCTGCCGGGGATCACCAAGGTGCCCGTGGGGGATCAGCCCCAGGACATCGAGTTCCAGATCCGGGACATGATCCTGCAGTTCATCAGCAGGGAGAGCAGCCTCATCCTGGCCGTCACGCCGGCCAACATGGACCTGGCCAACTCGGACGCGCTCAAGATGGCCAAGGAGGTGGATCCGCAGGGTAAAGGGATGGGGATGGCCCCGGGGAGGACCTTCCTCGTCCTCTTCTTCCTCTCCTGGCAGGGCCAGGGGTTCCTCTCCGTTCCGTGGGTCCCTGTTGTGCTTGGCTGGGATTCATTGGGGTCGACCCTTGGCTCCCCAGGCCTGAGGACCATCGGGGTCATCACCAAGCTGGACCTGATGGACGAAGGCACCGACGCCCGGGACGTGCTGGAGAACAAACTGCTGCCCCTGCGGAGAGGTACGGCTGGCCCGGGTCCCCAGTGTCCCCTGGGTCCCCCTCAGGTCATTCTGTCACTCTGTGTGTCCCCCTCAGGTCGCTCTGTGTGTCCCCAGTGTCCCCCCCTGCCCTGTGTCCCTCCCTCCTTCTCTCTGTGTCCCCTGCCCTGTGTCCCTCTCTCCATGTCCCCAGTGTTCCCTATGCCCTGGGGGTGCCATTCCCTGCCCAGGTGCCCCATGGTGTCCCCATGGTGCCCCCTGGTGTCCCCACTGCCCCACGGTGTCCCTGCTGCCCCACGGTGTCCCTGCTGCCCCATGGTGTCCCCGCTGTGCCCCCTGGTGTCCCCTCTGTGCCCCATGGTGCCCCCCGGTGTCCCCACTGCCCCTCGGTGTCCCCGCTGCCCCTCGGTGTCCCCGCTGTGCCCCCCGGTGTCCCCATGGTGTCCCCATGGTGTCCCCGCTGTGCCCCGGTGTCCCCGCTGTGCCCCACGGTCCCCACTGCCCCACGGTGTCCCCGGTGTGCCCCCCGGTGCCCCCGGTGTCCCCACGGTGTCCCCATGGTGCCCTACGGTGTCCGCTGTGCCCCACGGTGCCCCCCGGTGTCCCCACGGTGTCCCCATGGTGCCCTACGGTGTCCGCTGTGCCCCACGGTGTCCCCCTGGTGTCCCCGCTGTGCCCCACGGTCCCCACTGCCCCATGGTGCCCCCGCTGTGCCCCCCGGTGTCCCTGCTGTGCCCTGCTGCCCCCCAGTGCCCCCGGGTGTCCCCGTTGCCCCCCGGTGTCCCCGCTGTGCCCCAGTGCCCCCCGATGCCCCCGCTGTGCCCCCCAGTGTCCCCCCGGTGTCCCCCCAGTGTCCCCCCGGTGTCCCCCCGGTGTCCCCACGGTGTCCCCGCGGTGCCAGGCTACATCGGCGTGGTGAACCGGAGCCAGAAGGACATCGACGGCAAGAAGGACATCCGCGCCGCGCTGGCGGCCGAGCGCAAGTTCTTCCTGTCCCACCCGGCCTACCGGCACATGGCCGAGCGCATGGGCACGCCGCACCTGCAGAGGGTCCTCAACCAGGTGGGCAGCCCCCTCCTCGGGGAAAGTGGGAATTTTGGGGGGTAGGACAGCCAATTCTTGCCTGGGAAAGTGGGAATTTTGGGGTGGGACAGTGCCTTCCTCCTGGGAAAGGGGGAATTTGGGGGGATAGGACAGCCAATTCTTGCCTTGGAGATTGTTAATTTTTGTGTGTTGCATGTGCCCCCTGGTGTCCCCTCTGTGCCCCATGGTGCCCCCCGGTGTCCCCACTGCCCCTCGGTGTCCCCGCTGCCCCTCGGTGTCCCCGCTGTGCCCCCCGGTGTCCCCATGGTGTCCCCATGGTGTCCCCGCTGTGCCCCCTGGTGTCCCCTCTGTGCCCCATGGTGCCCCCCGGTGTCCCCACTGCCCCTCGGTGTCCCCGCTGCCCCTCGGTGTCCCCGCTGTGCCCCCCGGTGTCCCCATGGTGTCCCCATGGTGTCCCCGCTGTGCCCCGGTGTCCCCGCTGTGCCCCACGGTCCCCACTGCCCCACGGTGTCCCCGGTGTGCCCCCCGGTGCCCCCGGTGTCCCCACGGTGTCCCCATGGTGCCCTACGGTGTCCGCTGTGCCCCACGGTGCCCCCCGGTGTCCCCACGGTGTCCCCATGGTGCCCTACGGTGTCCGCTGTGCCCCACGGTGTCCCCCTGGTGTCCCCGCTGTGCCCCACGGTCCCCGCTGCCCCATGGTGCCCCCGCTGTGCCCCCCGGTGTCCCTGCTGTGCCCTGCTGCCCCCCAGTGCCCCCGGGTGTCCCCGTTGCCCCCCGGTGTCCCCGCTGTGCCCCAGTGCCCCCCGATGCCCCCGCTGTGCCCCCCAGTGTCCCCCCGGTGTCCCCCCAGTGTCCCCCCGGTGTCCCCCCGGTGTCCCCACGGTGTCCCCGCGGTGCCAGGCTACATCGGCGTGGTGAACCGGAGCCAGAAGGACATCGACGGCAAGAAGGACATCCGCGCCGCGCTGGCGGCCGAGCGCAAGTTCTTCCTGTCCCACCCGGCCTACCGGCACATGGCCGAGCGCATGGGCACGCCGCACCTGCAGAGGGTCCTCAACCAGGTGGGCAGCCCCCTCCTCGGGGAAAGTGGGAATTTTGGGGGGTAGGACAGCCAATTCTTGCCTGGGAAAGTGGGAATTTTGGGGTGGGACAGTGCCTTCCTCCTGGGAAAGTGGGAATTTCTGAGGGGGCAGCCCATTCCTGCCTGGGAAAGTGGGAATTTTGGGGTGGGACAGTGCCTTCCTCCTGGGAAAGTGGGAATTTTTGGGGGGGCAGCCCATTCCTGCCTGGGAAAATGGGAATTTTGGGGTGGGACAGCCCATTCCTGCCTGGGAAAGTGGGAATTTTGGGGGGTAGGACAGCCAATTCTTGCCTGGAAAAATGGGATTTTCTGGGGGGGCAGCCCATTGCTGCCGAGGAAAATGGGAATTTTGGGGTGGGACAGCCCATTCCTGCCTGGAAAGTGGGAATTTCTTGGGGGGGCAGCCCATTCCTGCCTGGGAAAATGGGAATTTTGGGGTGGACAGCCCCTTCCTGCCTGGGAAAGTGGGAATTTTTGGGGGGGCAGCCCATTCCTGTCTGGGAAAGTGGGAATTTTGGGGTGGGACAGTGCCTTCCTCCTGGGAAAGTGGGAATTTTGGGGGATAGGACAGCCAATCGCCTGGGAAAGTGGGAATTTCGGGGTAGGACAGCCAATTCTTGCCTGGAAAGTGGGAATTTCGGGGGGGGCAGCCCATTCCCGCCTGGGAAAGTGGGAATTTCGGGGGGGGCAGCCCATTCCCGCCTGGGAAAGTGGGAATTTCGGGGGGGGCAGCCCATTCCCGCCTGGGAAAGTGGGAATTTCGGGGGGGGCAGCCCATTCCCGCCTGGGAAAGTGGGAATTTCGGGGTAGGACAGCCAATTCTTGCCTGGAAAAATGGGATTTTCTGGGTGGGCAGCCCCCTCCTCCGGGAAAGTGGGAATTTCTGGGGGGGCAGCCCATTCCTGCCTGGGAAAGTGGGAATTTCTGGTGGGGCAGCCCATTCCTGCCTGGAAAAGTGGGAATTTCAGGGTGGGGCAGCTCCTTCCTGCCTGGGAAAGTGGGAATTTTGGGGTGGGACAGCCAGTTCTTGCCTGGAAAAATGGGATTTTTCAGGTGGCACAACCCATTTGTTCCTAGAAAAGTGGGATTTTCTGGGTAGCACAGCCCATTCCCACCTGGAAAAGCAGATTTTTCCGGGGTGGCACAGCCCCTTCCCACCCAGAAAATCGGGATTTTCCAGGTGGCACAGCCCCTTCCCACCCAGAAAATCGGGATTTTCCAGGTGGCACAGCCCCTTCCCACCCAGAAAATCGGGATTTTCCAGGTGGCACAGCCCCTTCCCACCCAGAAAATCGGGATTTTCCAGGTGGCACAGCCCCTTCCCACCCAGAAAATCGGGATTTTCCAGGTGGCACAGCCCCTTCCCACCCAGAAAATCGGGATTTTCCAGGTGGCACAGCCCCTTCCCACCCAGAAAATCGGGATTTTCCAGGTGGCACAGCCCCTTCCCACCCAGAAAATCGGGATTTTCCAGGTGGCACAGCCCCTTCCCACCCAGAAAATCGGGATTTTCCAGGTGGCACAGCCCCTTCCCACCCAGAAAATCGGGATTTTCCAGGTGGCACAGCCCCTTCCCACCCAGAAAATCGGGATTTTCCAGGTGGCACAGCCCCTTCCCACCCAGAAAATCGGGATTTTCCAGGTGGCACAGCCCCTTCCCACCCAGAAAATCGGGATTTTCCAGGTGGCACAGCCCCTTCCCACCTGGAAAATCGGGAATTCCGGGGTGGCACAGCCCATTTATTCCTAGAAAAGCAGATTTTCTGGGTATCACAGCCCCTTCCCACCCAGAAAAGCGGGATTTTCCGGGTAGCACAACCCATTCCCACCTGGAAAAGCTGGATTCCCCGCTCAGCTCTCCCCATCCCTCGGCAGCAACTCACCAACCACATCCGGGAGACGCTGCCCTCGCTGCGCAGCAAGCTGCAGAGCCAGCTGCTGTCCCTGGAGAAGGAGGTGGAGGAGTACAAGAACTTCCGTCCCGACGACCCCGCCAGGAAAACCAAAGCCTTGCTGCAGTGGGTGCCTCCCCTGGGAATTCCCACTGGGAATGTTCCTCTCGGGCTCGGGGGATGGGTGGGGAAACCTCTCCTGGAGCATCCCTGGGAGCTGTCGCAGGAAAAGTGGGATTTGCGCCCCGGCCGCGGGAATTTCGGGGATGTTTTGCTGCCTCATTCCCGGTTTTCCCGGCCCAGGATGGTGCAGCAGTTCGGGGTGGACTTTGAGAAGCGGATTGAGGGCTCAGGAGACCAGGTGGACACTCTGGAGCTCTCCGGGGGCGCCAGGATCAACCGGATTTTCCACGAGAGGTTCCCCTTCGAGCTCGTGAAGGTGAGGAATGGGGGGGTTCCTCTCCCTGGAGGCTTCTCCAGCCCAAACCATCCCAGGATCCCATCAAAATCCCGGGATTTGAGGCAGCTGGTCCGTCCTTGGATGGGTCAGTCTGGTGTGGTTCTTCTGTGGCTGCTGGACAGTGGGACAGCACTGATTGATTCCTGATTCCTGATTGATTCCTGATTGATTCCTGATTGATTCCTGATTCCTGATTGATTCCTGGTTCCTGATTTCCTGATTTCTGGTTCCTGATTTTTTCCTGGTTCCTGATTCCTGATTGATTCCTGATTGATTTCTGGTTCCTGATTGATGCCTGATTGTTTTCTGGTGCCTGATTCCTGATTGATTCCTGATTGATTTCTGGTTCCTGATTGATGCCTGATTGTTTTCTGGTGCCTGATTCCTGATTGATTCCTGATTGATTTCTGGTTCCTGATTGATGCCTGATTGTTTTCTGGTGCCTGATTCCTGATTGATTCCTGATTGATTTCTGGTTCCTGATTGATGCCTGATTGTTTTCTGGTGCCTGATTCCTGATTGATTCCTGGTTCCTCATTCCTGATTCCTGATTGTTTCCTGGTTCCTGATTTCCTGATTTCTGGTTCCTGATTTTTTCCTGGTTCCTGATTCCTGATTCCTGGTTGATTTCTGATTCTTGATTGATTCCTGATTGATTCCTGGTTCCTCATTCCTGATTTCTGGTTCCCAATTCCTGGTTGATTTCTGAGTTCCTGATTTCTGATTCCTGATTGATTCCTGATTTCTGAGTCCTGATTGTTTCCTGATTCCTGATTCCTGATTCCTGGTTCCTCATTGATTCCTGATTGATTCCTGATTCCTGATTGATTCCTGATTGATTTCTGGTTCCTGATTGTTTCCTGATTCCTGAATTCCTGATTCTTGATTCCTGATTGATTCATGGTTCCTGATTCCTGATTGATTGCTGATTCCTGATTGTTTCCTGATTCCTGATTTCCTGGTTCCTGATTCCTGGTTCCTCATTGATTCCTGATTGTTTCCTGATTCCTGATTTCCTGGTTCTTGATTCTTGATTCCTGATTGATTCATGGTTCCTGATTCCTGATTGATTCCTGATTGATTTCTGGTTCCTGATTCCTGATTTCTGATTGCTGATTGATTTCTGATTCCTGATTGATTCCTGATTGATTTCTGGTTCCTGATTGTTTCCTGATTCCTGATTTCCTGGTTCTTGATTCTTGATTCCTGATTGATTCCTGGTTCCTGATTCCTGGTTCCTCATTGATTCCTGATTGTTTCCTGATTCCTGATTTCCTGGTTCCTGATTCCTGGTTGATTTCTGAGTTCCTGGTTTCTGATTCCTGATTGATTCCTGATTGTTTCCTGGTTCCTCATTCCTGATTCCTGGTTCCTGATTGATTTCTGATTGATTTCTGATCCTGATTCCTGGTTCCTGATTGATTCCTGATTTCTGATTCCTGATTGATTTCTGATTCCTTATTGATTCCTGATTGATTCGTGGTTTCTGATTCCTGGTTCCTGATTGATTCCTGGTTCCTGATTCCTGATTGATTCCTGATCCCGATTCGATTCCTGGTTCCTGGTTGATTCCTGACCCTGATTTCTGATTGATTCCTGATTCCTGGTTCCCGATTGATTCCTGATCCCGGTTCCTGATTGATTCCTGACCCTGATTTCTGATTGATTCCTGGTTCCTGGTTCCTGATTGATTCCTGGTTCCTGGTTGATTCCTGTTCCCGATTCCTGGTTCCTGTTGATTCCTGACCCTGATTTCTGATTGATTCCTGATTCCTGGTTCCTGATTGATTCCTGGTTCCTGGTTCCTGATTGATTTCTGATTGATTCCTGGTTCCTGATTGATTCCTGATCCTGGTTCCTGATTGACTCCTGACCCCGATTCCCACTCCCTTTCCCGGCAGATGGAATTCGACGAGAAGGATTTGAGGCGGGAGATCAGCTACGCCATCAAGAACATCCACGGGGTGAGGCAAGTATCCCCCACAGATCCTCCCTGGACACAATTCCCGGCCCACATTCCCAGAGAAAGGTGGGAAGGGCTCTCCTGGAGGGGGGAATTTTCTCTTCTGAGGGTAAAATTGTTCTCCAGGAGCAGAATTTCTCCCTGGGAGCAGGAACTGCCTCTCCCAAAGCTGGGAATCGCTCTGTGGGTCAGGGAATCCCTCCCTGGGGTGGGGCACATTCCCAATCCCATCCCAATCCCATCCCTCTCCCTGGGCTCCAGGACGGGGCTGTTCACGCCGGACCTGGCCTTCGAGGCCATCGTGAAGAAGCAGGTGGTGAAGCTGAAGGAGCCGTGCCTGAAATGCGTGGATTTGGTGATCCAGGAGCTCATCAACACCGTGCGCCAGTGCACCAGTAAGGTACTGGTCAGCCCAGAGTGACCAGTAAGGGACTGGTCAGCCCAGTGTCACCATTAAGGGCCTGGTCAGCCCAGAGTGACCAGTAAGGGACTGGTCAGCCCAGTGTCACCATTAAGGGCCTGGTCAGCCCAGAGTGACCAGTAAGGGACTGGTCAGCCCAGTGTCACCATTAAGGGCCTGGTCAGCCCAGAGTGACCAGTAAGGGACTGGTCAGCCCAGTGTCACCATTAAGGGCCTGGTCAGCCCAGAGTGACCAGTAAGGGACTGGTCAGCCCAGTGTCACCATTAAGGGCCTGGTCAGCCCAGAGTGACCAGTAAGGGACTGGTCAGCCCAGTGTCACCATTAAGGGCCTGGTCAGCCCAGAGTGACCAGTAAGGGACTGGTCAGCCCAGTGTCACCATTAAGGGCCTGGTCAGCCCAGAGTGACCAGTAAGGGACTGGTCAGCCCAGTGTCACCATTAAGGGCCTGGTCAGCCCAGAGTGACCAGTAAGGGACTGGTCAGCCCAGTGTCACCATTAAGGGCCTGGTCAGCCCAGAGTGACCAGTAAGGGACTGGTCAGCCCAGTGTCACCATTAAGGGCCTGGTCAGCCCAGAGTGACCAGTAAGGGACTGGTCAGCCCAGTGTCACCATTAAGGGCCTGGTCAGCCCAGAGTGACCAGTAAGGGACTGGTCAGCCCAGTGTCACCATTAAGGGCCTGGTCAGCCCAGAGTGACCAGTAAGGGACTGGTCAGCCCAGTGTCACCATTAAGGGCCTGGTCAGCCCAGAGTGACCAGTAAGGGACTGGTCAGCCCAGTGTCACCATTAAGGGCCTGGTCAGCCCAGAGTGACCAGTAAGGGACTGGTCAGCCCAGTGTCACCATTAAGGGCCTGGTCAGCCCAGAGTGACCAGTAAGGGACTGGTCAGCCCAGTGTCACCATTAAGGGCCTGGTCAGCCCAGAGTGACCAGTAAGGGACTGGTCAGCCCAGTGTCACCATTAAGGGCCTGGTCAGCCCAGAGTGACCAGTAAGGGACTGGTCAGCCCAGTGTCACCATTAAGGGCCTGGTCAGCCCAGAGTGACCAGTAAGGGACTGGTCAGCCCAGTGTCACCATTAAGGGCCTGGTCAGCCCAGAGTGACCAGTAAGGGACTGGTCAGCCCAGTGTCACCATTAAGGGCCTGGTCAGCCCAGAGTGACCAGTAAGGGACTGGTCAGCCCAGTGTCACCATTAAGGGCCTGGTCAGCCCAGAGTGACCAGTAAGGGACTGGTCAGCCCAGTGTCACCATTAAGGGCCTGGTCAGCCCAGAGTGACCAGTAAGGGACTGGTCAGCCCAGTGTCACCATTAAGGGCCTGGTCAGCCCAGAGTGACCAGTAAGGGACTGGTCAGCCCAGTGTCACCATTAAGGGCCTGGTCAGCCCAGAGTGACCAGTAAGGGACTGGTCAGCCCAGTGTCACCATTAAGGGCCTGGTCAGCCCAGAGTGACCAGTAAGGGACTGGTCAGCCCAGTGTCACCATTAAGGGCCTGGTCAGCCCAGAGTGACCAGTAAGGGACTGGTCAGCCCAGTGTCACCATTAAGGGCCTGGTCAGCCCAGAGTGACCAGTAAGGGACTGGTCAGCCCAGTGTCACCATTAAGGGCCTGGTCAGCCCAGAGTGACCAGTAAGGGACTGGTCAGCCCAGTGTCACCATTAAGGGCCTGGTCAGCCCAGAGTGACCAGTAAGGGACTGGTCAGCCCAGTGTCACCATTAAGGGCCTGGTCAGCCCAGAGTGACCAGTAAGGGACTGGTCAGCCCAGTGTCACCATTAAGGGCCTGGTCAGCCCAGAGTGACCAGTAAGGGACTGGTCAGCCCAGTGTCACCATTAAGGGCCTGGTCAGCCCAGAGTGACCAGTAAGGGACTGGTCAGCCCAGTGTCACCATTAAGGGCCTGGTCAGCCCAGAGTGACCAGTAAGGGACTGGTCAGCCCAGTGTCACCATTAAGGGCCTGGTCAGCCCAGAGTGACCAGTAAGGGACTGGTCAGCCCAGTGTCACCATTAAGGGCCTGGTCAGCCCAGAGTGACCAGTAAGGGACTGGTCAGCCCAGTGTCACCATTAAGGGCCTGGTCAGCCCAGAGTGACCAGTGGGGACTGGTCAGCCCAGTGACACCAGTAACAGACTGGTCAGCCCAGTGACACCAGTCAGGTACTGGTCAGCCCAGTGACACCAGTAAGGTACTGGTCAGCCCAGTGACACCAGTAAGGGACTGGTCAGCCCAGTGACACCAGTCAGGTACTGGTCAGCCCAGTGTCACAGTGACATTCTGCTCAGCCCAGTGTCACCAGTAACAGACTGGTCAGCCCAGTGTCACAGTGACATTCTGCTCAGCCCAGTGTCACCAGCAGGGCTCTGACTGGAGCCATTCCAGCCCCTCCCTCCTGCCGCCGCCTCCCTCCTCCCCAAAATCCCCCTCTGGTAAAATCCAGGCTCACCCTGGGCATCCCCAGGCCTCTCCTGGCATTCCCTGGATCCCCATGGAACAGCCGGTATTTTGGGGACACCCCCCCATCCCTGGGGGGGGTCTCCTGGGGCAGGAACTGGGTGGGATTCGGGGGGCTTTGGTGGGTGCTGCTCCCCCCGAGCTGCCCGGCTCCATCCCAGCAGTTCTTCCCCTCTTTTCCAGCTGGGCTCCTACCCCAGGCTGCGGGAGGAGACCGAGCGCATCGTCACCACGCACATCCGCGAGCGGGAGGGCAAAACCAAGGACCAGGTCAGCCCCCTGCCCGTCCCCAGCCCCCCCAGGGGAGGGAACTGCCCCCTCCCCTGACTCCTGCTTCCCTCAGATCCTGCTGCTCATCGACATCGAGCTCTCCTACATCAACACCAACCACGAGGATTTCATCGGCTTCGCCAAGTGAGTTTTTTTTTTCCCGGGCCTGCGGGGGTTGTGGTTTCATTCTGGGGGGCACTGGAGTCTCCCACGTGCCACCAGCACCCGCTTCCCTCAGGTTTGGGCTGTGGGAAAGGGGCTGGGAAAAGCTCCAGCCTCAGGAATTGGGGTGAATCCCGATGGTTCGGGCTGTTGGAAGCGCCCTGGAGCTGTCCCACAGCAGGAATTGCTCCTTGTCCTCTCTGTCCCTCCTCATCCTCTCCCCTTCCACCTTCCCTGGTGTTTTCCAGCCCCCAGACTCCAGCTCAGGGTGCCTGGAGCCCACCCCCACTCCAGCCCCTTAAATTCCCACACTCCTCCTCCTGGTTTTTTTTTTTTTTGTTTTTTCTCTTTTCCCCCTTTTTTCTCTCTTTTCCTCTCCGGTCACACTCCCTGCTCTCCTCCTGCTCTCTGCTGTTTCCCCTTGGATCCATCACCTCTCTCTGTCTCTGGACTGTTCTGATCCTCTCGTGCCCCAGCTGTTTCACTGAGCAGCACGTGGCCACCGGGTGGGTACCGGGGGCAGCTCCCCCTCCCCGGGGCATCCCGGCACCTTCCCGGGGGTCTGGGGGGTCTGGGGAGGCTCCCCTCGGGGCTGGGAGCTGGGAGCTTGTCCTTGGCTTTGGGATCCTGGAGCTTCTCCTCCCAGTTCAGCTCTGGAATTGGGATCCTGGAGCTGCAGTCCAGCTTTGGGTTTGGGATCCTGGAGCTTCTCCTCACAGCTCAGATTTGGGTTTGGGATCCTGGAGCTTCTCCTCACAGCTCAGATTTGGGTTTGGGATCCTGGAGCTTCTCCTCACAGCTCAGATTTGGGTTTGGGATCCTGGAGCTTCTCCTCACAGCTCAGATTTGGGTTTGGGATCCTGGAGCTGCTCCTCCCAGTCCAGCTTTGGAACTGGGAACCAGAGAGCTTTTCCCTCAGATTTAGCTTTGGGATCCTGGAGCTTCTCCTCCCAATTCAGATTTGGAACTGGGATCCTGGAGCTTCTCCTCCCAGTTCAGCTCTGGAATTGGGATCCTGGAGCTGCAGTCCAGCTTTGGGTTTGGGATCCTGGAGCTTCTCCTCCCAGCTCAGATTTGGGTTTGGGATCCTGGAGCTTCTCCTCACAGCTCAGATTTGGGTTTGGGATCCTGGAGCTTCTCCTCCCAATTCAGATTTGGGTTTGGGATCCTGGAGCTGCTCCTCCCATTTCTGCCCTGGAATT